TATACTCAGTGTACAACAACAGCAATAAGATACCGATTTCCATACAAGTCAACTACTCAGGACTATCCTTAGACAGAAGACTGACGTTGAACCCCACACAAGACGTAACAGGCAGCAACTTAACGGAAGACTTGGACTACTAGGAGCAAAATCCGTGTTGACCACAACACTAAACTAACCTTACACGAGTCTAATGCGACCAGTGGAACTGTGCGTTTCAGCCAATCCATCCAGCATCCAGCGCATCCAGTCCTTCTAATCAAAAGTCCTCAGACAAATTATCAAATGTTCACACTACGTTACTATCCTCACTTTGCTACTATCCTCACCTCAAGCATGCAGAGAACCGGTAATGACCTCAGCTGTTTGTCGGTTCCCTAAACTATATATATAATGATCATTGAAGATGGCGAAACGCCTAAACGCGGCTGACTGAACAAATCAGCGAAAATAGACTAAATATGATCTGAAAAGGCCAAATTACAAATTCGTCACAGCAGACTACACGGAGACATTATAAAAGTCTGTATTAACGAAAAATACCTTCGACTATATCTCGACAGCAGACTGACGTGGAATCCCCACATAATACTTTAAAAAAACATCTAATACAAGATTTGGACTACTACGTAGACTTCTAAGACCGACATCGACTTTGACAATTAAGACAAAGCTAACACTGAACAAGACTACTAAGACCAATATGGATATAAGGAATGGAACTCTGGGGTTCTGCTAAGCATTCCAATATCCAGCGTATTTGGTCCTTCCAATCGAAAGTCCTTAGACAAATTGTCAAAGCACCTTATTGTATCACTAACTTCATTATCCACAAAGACCTCAACATTCCTTTTGTCAACGAATGGTCCGTCCCCGATTCGAAAAGTTTCACACCACCCTCTCCATCATAACCAGAATGCTTGAGCCCTCTTTATAAATTCCCATCCCGAGAACTCGCCTTAATCTAATTCCTTGCCTGTTATCCCCCATTCTACGTGCTAGGATCTCATGGCATGTGTCCTTTGGGTGTAGGCGCTGGCCTTAGTGTTAATGCTGTGACCGTGTGAGGAAACGTTTTCTGATCGGATTTTGAATATGTACTAATATGTAGAGGGAACAAATAAAATAAAGCAACGTTTTATCGAAAACCAAAAAAATAATTATACAAAAATCAATAAAAAAAACGAAATGAACGTTCTTATCTGTTTCTTCTCTCTTCGAAATGTTTTTCTTATTTTTTCTTTTTTTTCGAGATGTTTTTCTTGTTTTCTTTCTTCGAGACTTTTTTTTTCTTTCTTCGATTTTATCCACCACGTGAGAGCCGATGAACCCCCCCCCCAAAAAAAAAAACACGCTCTGCTTCCACTATTTATCTCATCTTGTATCGATCTTTCTCGAAACAAGGAATTTAGTAATTAAAACGGGTTAATAATAAAGCAATGTTCTATTGAAAAACAAAAAAAAATTTTACAAATATCAATAACAAGTCGAAATGAACGTTCTTAACTGATTCTTTTCTCTTCGAGATGTTTTTCTTTTTTTCTTTCTTCGAGATGTTTTTTCTCTTTTTCTTTCTTCGAGGTGTTTTTCTTGTTTTCTGTCTTCGAGATGTTTTTTCTCTTTTTCTTTCTTCGAGGTGTTTTTTTTCTTTCTTCGATTTTATCCGCCACGTGAGAGCCGATGAACCCCCCCCCAAAAAAAAACGATCTGCTTCCACTATTTATCTCATCTTGTATCGATCTTTCTCGAAACAAGGAATTTAGTAATTAAATCGGGTTAATAATAAAGCAATGTTCTATTGAAAAACAAAACAAAAATTATACAAATATAATTTTTGTCGAATGTCATAGGCATTTTTGTTGCAAGTGAAAACTGAAACAAATTCTCTCAATTAAAAAATAATTGCAACATTGATAAATGTTTACATAAAGTGCAGGATATTTTTTTTTAACTTATTTTAAGTAGAAAATGATGGTGGACTCTTACATATCTGACAACCAGTCAAATCTCGCTCTTCAGGCGTGTCGGGCAGTATTAAAGGACGTAATCAGTCTGCCCAGTTAAAAATGAAATTTCTTCCTTCGTCAGGTTTTTCTTGCGAAAGTGGTTCTTTTTTACTATTTTCGGAATCACTAGTGACTTTTTCTTTCACTGCGACCTAAATCATTATGTACTGAGCCTTCCTTATTATTTCCATACCTCGTAAAAGTGCTCAGCTGCCTTAAAGATTTTGATAGACGCTTCCAAACAAAACAAACAAGATATGTTTATGAAAGCAAAAACCTTGACACTAACAGAAGGCCTTATCACGGTACACAGATCGAAAATACTGAAATCAGTAGAACATGGAGTCAGTCAAAGACTCAAATTTTGACCCAGTTAAAACCTCTAAGCCCTAATCGATTTTTCTAGTTGACATCCATAGGATTCTATGCATAATAAATAAATAAAAAAGGTTCAAAGTTGCACAGATTCTCAGACAGCCAAGCAGTACTAATGGTTTTAGACAATCAAAGCCCAACATCTCAACCAGGAATAACAAATCTCTCTCTCACACACACACATACACATACACAGTAGGCAAGAATTAGGGATAATATTAGGGCTTTAAAAAATAGCCCAACCATTTACCACCGAAAAAATTGAGAAAGAGCCCGACTCAGTCATGAAATTGCAGAAATCATAATAACTAACAAAGCTTTGGTGCGGAAACGATTGCAGAGATTAACGCCTAAAAATTGAACGAAGAGGAACCGCGGAAAGTGAACTAACCTAAACAAATGAATCTTCATTAATACTGAACTTACTTGTTTACTTGGATATGGAATACAACACGGTCAATTCCACAATAGAACTTTTAGATCCCAATGAAAGCAAGGTGGAAGAAAGGTCACCAGTGACCTGTGATAATGATGACGATTATGAATACTAGGAAGTGGGTTTTTGTTCCGCAATCACTGCAGGTTTCTGTCTTATTGTACTTTTCCTAGTTCCTTAATTCAGTCCAATCAACTCGATCCTTTTCCTAAGGAGTGCTAAGTCACTGACGCTACTATAATTCCTTTTCCTGGGTTTTCCTTGTATCCCATGTTATGTGTCAATAGAGAGGTTGGTTCGCATTCGAAGATGATGTGGGTGGCTTTTTCTTCCTCCTCATAGTATAACCTACAAATAGGGTCATCATTGAATATATCCATATCATGTAGATGTTTTCTCAGATAACTGTGACCTGTAGTCTTATCATCTGAGTTTAGCCCTATAACTGTAGCAATGAACACGCCAGTCTTGGTGAGGGTTGTTTTAGCATAAGCTTAATGTGTCTAGCAGGTCTAGAGTTTATTCACTTCTCATTGCCCTTTTTGGATTTCTATGTTTGTTTTTGTCATCCCAAGAATAGGTCTTTTACACATCCTCCTCTGGTTAAGGTCTGCCTTTTCGTTACCCAATATTGTGTCCTGGTACACAAGATATAATCAGGTTGTTGTGTTTCCCCAGGTTTTGGAGATTTTGGATGCATTCACTAACTAATTTTGGAGTTTTTTTTACATTTTCATGCTTTATTAGCTGCTCGGCTACCGTATGATTATTTGTCAGTGTAATCCCTATTAAGATTTTCTAAGGTACAATCGATGATGGCATGTATTTCACTTGACATACCAAGGTGCACTACCCTGTGGAAAATGTACGACTTGACATACAACCTCGTCTCACGCCTGCATCCACATCGAAAAATCCGAGATGCCTTCCAAGCCCGTCAATAGCCTAATTTCTTCTTTTCAGCGCTCCTTCTCGTATCTCCTCATTCAGTGTTGTTTCGAACAGAAGTACTATGATTTTCTAAAACATTACCACCCGATTTTGTCCCGCCGATGAACCGTTCGTCAAATCTTCACGCAATGAAAGAGGAACTTGCATAATTGGTGCAATTTGAATTATTTGATATTCAGAAATACGAGATTAGATTAGACTATATTATGTGGGAGCTGGCCTCTTGAGGACCACGGCCAGTATTGGTCTATTGTGCATCTCCATTTTTTTTTTATCTAGAGCTACTAGTTAAGCTTAAGTCTTTTTACCAGATTCTTCTTCTTGGCAATATCTGCACGGGTTTGTTTCTGCCACTCCTAGATTAGTAGTTCTGCGGTTAGTTTCTACGATGGTCCTTTGATAGACTGTTTAGCATGCCGTTGTCCCGAACTACCTTCCCATTGAACGGAGGACTTATTATTAATCCATTGCCTAATTGATCCGCGTTTTAGGCTGTGGTAAAAGAGTTCAGGGCCAAGGTGTCCTCATTGAACTTTCCTTGGCCAGTTTATCGGGTTCTTCGTTGCCCCTCTGGCCCCCTGCAGGTACCTGCCCAGGTACCCAGACAAAGGTAATTTTGTTCCCCAATGTCTGACCGGCCTCTAATGCAGAGAAATACTAGGCTTAAAAATTTATAAATATCTCTAAACTTAATTTAATTTTATAATTATTATTTTTTATTCTCCTTCTAAAACAATACAATAATAATTCGAAGAATGATAATTCATAGTACATACTTCAGATTTGTGTCCGTGTGTAATTGAATCTATAGAATTTGTGCAGAACCAACAACCTACATTAATAAAAACTTCAGATTCGTTGTCAAATTTATATAGAATTAGAAAAAATAATTTTAGAAATATTCGTTGTCACATGTCGATATAACATAATTAGAAGTAGAATAAGATTATTTTAGGGAATGAGACGAACTGCGAAACGAATCATTCATTCATGAACGCGTATTTAATCATGAAGTGTGCATAATGCAAGATCTCTCAAAATGAAACGAAACGACAAAAAAAAATTAATTTTCTCTGCAGTTTCGTTCCGATTTATTATTACTTTTAGAATGACGTGTAGTTTGTCAGCGAAAAGATAACGTCCCACAAAAGAGATAATTTATTGTTGACGTCACATTCCCAATGATTATGATTCCGGTTATATTGAAAGTAATATTTGCCCCTTTCCTTTCGGCCGATATCTGTTCGCAAGAAGTTTTGTCGGCTCATTGTTCCAGCCGGGAGTCCAGGAGACGATTGCAATTTGTCTAAGAGGCTGACAACCGGCGGCGAAAACCCCCCTTTCTTTACATCTTCTGGATGCTGCGACGTTCCGTTTGGCCGTGAACGTGAAATTGTAATGGCAGATCAAAACAATCATTAGCCGAGGCAAACATCGATTTCAAAGGAAGTGATAAGGAAAGGCTGATATCGGAATCCAGAGCTCAGTCCTACGTCAACGTTTGGTAAAGCAAGATGAAACTCCTGCCATTAATACTCGCAGCATCAATTTTCGTCCTTTCCACATGTAAGTAACAGGCATTTTAAACAACAGGATATAGGTTTTTTTTTTTTTGACATACTACGCCCACTCCCTTAAAATGGAACTATTCCAAACGGCAAACAATTTTCTAGTCGGAGATTATCTGATTCTTCATTCATTGATCTGTTTTATCTCTTTATGGACGACGAGCTGAAATTAGATAAACGCTGTTTAAACTAGGATATGAGGACTCTAGTAGACCCACCTTTTCGAATTCAATTCAATATTCCGAAACAGTTATTTCTATCGACCATTCATTAAAGACGTATAAATGGTAGTTTGAAACCTATTTTACATTTTAATAAGCTCTTTTTGATTTTAATAACTTTTTAAAAATGAACTCAAGTAATCCAGTTTTAAATGTCAGATTCCATTATTAGAAATTAGCTATTAGGTAATGAAAATGGCGAGAAACTAGGATATTTCTTTGAGCCCCTTTCTCCCCAATTTTCTATAAAACCTCTCTATAACTTGTCTAGAGTCTGGAAATTTTCTATAAAATTCCTTTTCATGAAATCTAGAAATATTTCCGATGAAAAACTGTATGACAGGTCTTAAATATTCTCTCTAAAATTCCATCTTCCGCAAATTAGAAACTAGTAGTAGTATAGTTTTTATTATTTGCAATATGCATATACAAACATTGGCATATGACATAATTTATGCTTTCTATAGATTCTACCCTTCTATAGACTTTACCTTGTGACCATAATGATCGTTCGAGGAGAGTTGGGGAGTCAAGTTTTCAGATTAATTACAAGAATAACATTTTCTTTAAATTAGAAACTATTTTCTACAAAATTACCTTTTGGACAAACTAGAAAATATTTTCGCTCGAAAACGATGAAACCGATCTTTACGCGTTGTTTGTAAAAGTTCATTATCGCAAATTAGATGCTAACTGTCTGAAGTCTGGACATTGACTATGAAATTCCTTTTTATGCAAGCCACAATTTATTTGCGATAAAAAAAAATGTCAGACAGGATTTAAGATATTCTCTCTAAAAGTCCATTTTCCCAAAATTTGAAGTTAATTGTTTAAGTCTGAACATTTTCTATGAAATTTCCTTTTAAACAGATTAAAAAATATTAGCGATGAAAAACTATCAGACAGGACTTAATATATTCTCTCTAAAAATTTATTTGCCCCAAATTAGAAGGTAATTGTATAAAGTCTGGACATCTTCTATTAAATTTTCTTTTATACGAAAAAATTTGCGATGAAAAACTGAGAGGATTTTTGACGTTGTCCCAAAACGTTCGTTTTCCGCAAATTAGAAGCTAATTGATTAAAGTCTACATATTTACTTTTAAATTCCTTTTTAAGCAAGCTATAATTTATTTGCGATGAAAAACTGTCAGAGCGAACTTTTGACATTGTCCCAAAACGTACGTTTTCCGCAAATTAGAAGCTAATTGATTAAAGTCTACAGATTTACTTTTAAATTCCTTTTTAAGCAAGCTATAATTTATTTGCGATGAAAAACTGTCAGAGCGAACTTTTGACATTGTCCCAAAACGTACGTTTTCCGCAAATTAGAAGCTAATTGATTAAAGTCTACAGATTTACTTTTAAATTCCTTTTTATGCAAGCTACAATTTATTTACGATGAAAAACTGTCAGAGAGGAATTTTGACGTTGTTCCAAAACATTCTTTTTCCGTAAACTAAAAGCAGATTGATTAATGGAAACCTATTTATTTTTAAATTCCGTTTTATGCAAGGTACAATTTATTTGCGATGAAAAACTGACAGAGAGGACTTTTGACGTTGTCCCAAAACGTCCATTTTCCGTAAATTAAAAGCTAATTGATTAAAGTCCACCTATTCGCCTTTAAATTTCCTTTTTATGCAAGCTACAATTTATTTGCGATGAAAAATCATCAGAGAGAACTTTGGAAGAAGTCCAAAGCCTCCATTTTCCTCAAAATAGAAGCAAATTGTTTTAAATCTGGACATTTTCGATAAAATTCCCTTGTATCCAAATTAGAAAATATTTGCGATGAAAAAATGTCAGAGAAAATATTGGACGTAGTCCCGCAAATTAAAAGCAAATAGTTCACAATCTGAACATTTTCTGTAAAATTCCCTTTAATGAAAATTAGAAAATAATTGCGATGACACAATGTCAGAGAAAACATTGGATGTAGTCCCAAAACGTATATTTTCCTCAAACTAGATACTAATTGCTTAAAGTACGGATACTTTCTTTTAAATTCCCATTTATGCACACTAGAAAAAATTTCGATTAAAAGCTAATGGTGAAAGTTAATTGTTTTAGTGCAAACTAAAAAATATTGTTGATGAAAAACTGTCAGTCAATTTTAGATGTTGTCGATTGCATTTCATTATCCGCAAATTAAAAGCTAATTGCCTAAGTCGTGAACCTTTGAACTATAAAATTTCCTTTAATGTCAATAAGGAAAAAGATTGTTAAAAAAACCCATTGATAGGATTTAAAACTCTGTCCCTAAAAGTCCATTTTCCCCAATGTATGTTGCTCATTTTTAAGGAGTAGAACCAACAAAATTTCGGATCTGGACTTGAGAAAACTTGCGTTTTTCCTTTTAGATATATTTTCAACCATGAAGCTTTCAACGATCCTTCATTTTCTTGTATCCTGACGTGAAAATCACATATCGTTTTAGCCGGATCTTCTTTTATTCTGTTAGTGTTGCTCCAAATGGATTGTATTTTCACCTCATATATGCTTTATATATTACTCATATATTACTAAACATACCTGATAACTAAAAAAATGTAACTTTCACCTTCGAAAATCGTTCATACAACACTATATGCATTCAGGTGATGAAAATGTGGAAACTACTACAACCGACGTCTACTCGACGGGCAGCACATTCACCAGCGAAGGTACCACCAGGATTGTATTTTCACCTCATTTACACTTTATACAATTAATAATAGAAATGTATCCTTCTTACCTTTTGTTGGCAGAAACATTTCATAATATTCTTTGCTGATTTTAAGTTATAAATGACGCGCGTATCAATGGGTTCAATGAACCCTGGGATAATAGAAAATCGTTGGGATTTACTATTGTAAATTTGTATTTTAGAATATCAAAATGAATAGTTTTTCAAAAATTATCTACCTCTGAAATTTAGTTTTGGCTGTCATTGATGGTATTGGTTTGAAACAATTTTTATAGATCAGCACAGAAAGTAATTTTTTTTTTTTGGGGGGGGGGATTATATTACTAAACATACCTGATAACTAAAAAAATGTAACTTTCACCTTCGAAAATCGTTCATACAACACTATATGCATTCAGGTGATGAAAATGTGGAAAATACTACTACAACCGACGTCTACTCGACGGGCAGTACATTCACCAGCGAAGGTACCACCACGACCGAAGAGACATACAGTACGACACAACAGTGGAGTACACTGGCCAGCGAAAGCACGACACATCTCAGCACGACGGTCGAGACCACGGACGAAGCGGACAATTCCGTCGTGGACACAGAAATGGAAGATATGAGGCTGAGCGAAATGATCCGCAACGTCATCGCGACGTACAAGGAACAAGGGACGGTCATTATACCGGGAATAGACATACCCGATCCTATGACCCTTCCAGACAAGGAAATGGTCATCGGACCGACTCCGACCTCTTTTTACAACATGACCGCGCACGGTCTTTCAGACTTCACTGTCGATCACATCAACACAAACTTGGACAAAATGCAGGTACTTCATGTTTACCTTTATTTCAGGTTTAAGTACTTTATAAGTTAGTATAATTGTATTTATCCTAAACGGAATAATCTTGAAAAGCACTTTTGTAACACCGATCAGAAGAAATTTGACCTGACCTTATTCAATAGAAGAAATTTTATCTATGATTTTAGAACTTTCACTTGCATTTTAATTTGCAGTTAGTTCTTTATGCTCCTATCTTTAGAATATGTCAGCCGAAAAACAGAAAATCCAAGGTAATAATTCAATAAAAAACAGAAGATTTCGTCAGATCGGTATGACCAAATAAATAATAGGTTAAAATGGTCAATTGATACCATCAATAAAGTCTTTTGCCTTGAAAAGACCTCAGTTGTAGTTTTTTTTTCTTTTACGATGTTTCGCAACAGCAGGGGTCATATAAACAATAACAAATAATGCAGGGCCGCTGGATTCGAACCCGGGACCTTTACCTTACAGTGATGAGCGCCGTGTCAACGCCTAAACTGTTGCGGCCACCGACGCCCCCTCAGTTGTAGTTCTTTCAAAAGTCCTTTATTTCATTTATGACAGAAATGATTTATAGATAGATAAATTAATTGAAGATATATATAAATTCAGCGTGACAATAATAAATTTATTCTAAATTTACACAGGTTATTTTTATTTATTCTATGTTAAAAAATTTAAAATGACTTGGGTATTATGAAAATGCGAATTGAGTTCTTTTAGGTATAGAAATGTTTAGATCAATTTTTCCCTTTTTTAATTTCCGTGCACAATAAATCAATATATTTTCACTCCAATTTTCCTCTTTTCAATTTTTAATTGGGACATCTTAAGGGGGGAGTTAAGATTGTTTAATAAATTAATATATATTTCATATTAAATTTCATGAGATTGTATGGAGTAGTCTTATTTTATTTTTTCTGTAATGTAATAAAGCTTTTGTCATCAATACTGATGATACTTTTCCCTTCGCTTAAAAGCTTGATTTTCCCATGAAGAACGGTTTTTTCAAAGAGGTGAGATTTAATCACACTCCTGAAAAAATTCCTAGGATCCTAGCATTCGAAAGCTTACTAAATAAACAGATTTTTGGGGAAGTTTTACCAAAGCGATTTTTTGAAATTTGCCAAAGATCTCCCAGTGTTTAAATTTGGTAGATTCGTCCCAGCGAAAGGTTTTTCAGTTGGATGAAAGGTTTCAATGGAGGAGTCGTTCAGTGTGCAATTTAACTTAGATTTTTTAAAAAACCAATTCAATTTTGATGAAAAATGCATTAAAAAGGAATCAATTTGAAGTTAAAAAAAAGGTTAATTTGTTGCGAAAAAAAAATTTGAAGGTAAAAAGGTTAATTTGATGCGAAAAAGTATTAATTTGAAGATATGAAAAAATTAATAAACGCAAAAAAGGGGTTAATTTTGATTTTTAAAAAGGATTAATTGGAAAGTACAAAAGGTTAATTTATTTTTTTTTTTAAATAATTCGAAGGTAAAAAGGTTAACTTGATGTGAAGGTATAAAAAAATTTATATCAACGGAAAAAAGGGTTAATTTCATTTTAAAAAAAGAATTAATTGAAAGGTAAAAATGTTAATTTATTGCAAAAAAGATTAATTTGAAAGGTAAAGAAAGGTTAATTCAACCCAAAACAGGTTAATTTTATGCCTCAAAAGAATTAATTTGAAAGTAAAAAACGGTTAAGTTAACGCGAAAAATGGTTAATTTGACGCGAAAAACGATTAATTTTAGAGTAAAAGAAGATTAATTCAACGCAAAAATTAATTTGACGTAAAAAGCTGTGTAATCTAGTATCGAAGAGTGATGGATCTTAATCAAAAGCAATATATTGCCAAGCTCATAAATTTATTATGCAAGCCATAATATTGAATACTGTACGTAGATGTTTTAGTTAACCGTTTAAACAGTTAAAAATTTAAATATTTTATTTAAAAATATTTTAAAAACATTAAGGCTGATATCAATAACGCCATCTATAAGAATAATTCATTTCAATTAAACCTTACATAAAACCTTACAAAACCTTACATAAAAAGAGTAATTAATCGAAAGAAGTAATTTGGTTAATAGACCACTAAATATAATAGATTTATAAGAATAATATTATAATTAATTTTTATCTCAACCAAGTTCTTAAATAGAAAGAATAATTAATTGAAAGAAGTAACTTGGTCAATTGACCACTAAAACTTAAATGGATTCATAATATTAATCTTCAAATATTGTTGTTAATCTTATTGGTCCATAGGAAAATATGGTCGAAAATGAGAATATGGAAAAATTTCACCTGAACATTAATATTTTGATCAACAATCGAAACAAAATATCTTAAGAAAAAATTTCAAAAAAATCTAAAATGTTACCTACAACCTTAAAAATTGAAAATTGTTCTGAATAAATGATTATTTAACGTGATAATATTTTTTTAAATTCGTGAAACTGTACAAAATTGGTCGAAAATTGCAATGCATTTTTAATAAATTGTAGAAGCATTGTAATTTGCCGATAAAATTGCCAATTAAATACAAGCTGTACAAAACAATTAATTAATGTGTGAACAGCTATGTGAAATAGAAATTAAATACTCTCTGGAAGATTTTCACGCTCGATCAATTTTCAATAATATTTATCGTTACTAAAATAGTCTGCCATTACATAAAAGCACGTACGGCTAAATAATAGGTCAACATGTATCTCATGAAAATTCAAATAAAATTTAAATTCGTTATGCAATCCCGCGTGACTATTTGTCAATTTGTCTTCCTCGTTTATAGTTTTTGTTCTATTTATTTGAACTACTATTTAATAGCACGTACAATCCAACTGCGACGCTAACCAGATTTAGCGGACGAGTAGAGAGAGAGAGAGAGAGAGAGAGAGAGGAAGAAAAATATAAATGAATAGAACATCATCCGAATAAGTCCAATGACGGCAATATCGTTCCTTCTTACTTTGTAAAAAATAATCTCTTCTTTGATAATGGGATACCCACGTCAGCTCGTTCAACGTAAAGGATTTCCATTCTGATTTTGGGCCGTCGGATGACACTAGTTTTAGTCCTTTCGGCAATAATTTTTATTTTAATGGCTAAAAAATTTAACAATTTCAGGCTTTTCGACAGAACGCTAAAAAGTAAATAAATTGTATTTAAAACAAATCAACTATGTATTTGTTGATAGTGTCCATCCTAATTTTGTGGAACTCCATAATATGTTGATGGGTAGGAAATCAACTATGATTTAACTATGGCAACATTTACAATTATAATTTTACAGCATTGCGCATCATTTACAGATTTCTGTCAAATCTTATCACAGATTGCAAGACCTGTGAACCTTGTAGAAAAAGACATATTTCACCACATTTAATCATTCGTTTGTTTACTATCTTTCTGAAAAGAAACGTTAGAAATGTAAATTGTAATAAACTGTAAAGCCTGTTTCTCTTTTGGTATGTACAATATTTTTGGACTAAAGAGTGTAAATGTGTTGTAAAAAATTTACAATTGGATCTGATGTTTTCGCCATCTTCAGTGTGCCTCTTTTGGGGAAGATAGACAGACCAGAATAGTAGGAAATGGCCAAATTACAGTTAATCACCGCAGACGCCAAGAGGAACATTACATTATACAACATGCATTGATGGCATAATAGATCATACTAGATTACATCATAAACCACAAAGTGACAGACTTGAATTCCTTATACAAAAACATATAATTCACAGCAGGAATAGAAAACTACAATACTAAAAAATTACAAAAAATACAAGAAGGCTCAGAACCGTGCCATTAAAATACATGACAGATAGAGTAAAAACGGTACCACTGAGAAAAGAGAAATACAAGAACCAACTAAAAGCATAAAATCGGTATACGACACAAACACTATCAACAAAATAATAAATGAAACACATAAAACCATACTAAATGGGCCATTGTCACATACATATCGCAAATCTATCGAACTAATTTGAAATTAAAACAGCACTGAAAACCACACAACATTGACAAAACCAACCTTCACAAAATTGCCGTATACTCCATAAACACGCGAATGCTAAAAGGAATACATAGTACAGCCAGGAAGAAAAATAAAAGAGAGATGGATGCAGAGGTTCATCTCATACAAAAAACATCATGAACCCTCAGACAAGCTAGAAACTACTGGTACAAAAAGGACAGAAAATGAACTCCAAAACTTGGAAGAATTTGAAATATGCAAACACAAAATATTTAATACTACCCACACCCACGACCTTATAAAAGAGACACTACTTAATACAATTACGCAGATAGATGTTGGCGAAATGGTTTGTTTTTCCGATGTTTAGACATGGTTTTCTGTTTTTCCTACGGTCTTCTAGGAAAAGTCATTGATTATTTTTTCCGGTTTCTCCGTTATTTTCTGATTGTATTTCTTCTTTCCAATTATTTTCCTAACGTTTTTTCGTTGTTTGCCTATAAATTTCACGACTTTTTCTGCTGCTCTCCTGTTGGTTTTTCGTCGTTGTTCTGTTCAACTGTTGTTATTTTCTCTTTCTTTCCCAATTTCATTTCTGCTCGTTGCCTGTTGTGTTTTTTGCTGTCATCTCGTGACTTTCTTGTTGTTTGTCCTGTTTTCTTTTGATTTCTCGTTTTTCCCTATTGGGTTTCCGACGTTATCTCGTCGTTTTCACATTATATCCCGTTATTTTCCCCTTTCTTTCTCATTGATAATCTACCATTAGCCTGTGTTTTTCCGTGGCTTGTTGTCTGTTCTTTTGTGTTCCACTGTTTTCCGTAGTATTTTGTCGCTACTAATTCACACTTTTTCCGTTGTTTAGACAATGTTTTTCTGTATTTCCTACTTTTTTTCCATTTGATTCCCATTAATTGTTTAATTGTTATTATCTTGTGTTCCTGCTTTTCCGTAGTTTTCCTAACGTTTTTCTGTTGTACTGTCATTATTTGCCCGCTCTTTCCAAAGTTCTTTTTTTTTTTTTTTTGGTTGTCAGTTATCGTGTGGCTTTTACATTATTTCCCGTTGCTTTTCACTGTTTTTAGTTTGATTTCTCGTGTGCTATATCCTGCTGCTTTTCTACTGTTTTCCTTTGTCTTTACGTTGTATTATCGTTGTTTGTTGGCGTATTTTATGCATTTATTTATTTTGTTTTAATTGCTGGTCTTGTACTTTTTCCATAAGACCTTGATTTTCTCCATTCCCTATGGTTTTCTATTTTTTCTTCCATTTAATTCCCCCTGTTTTTCACTATTTTTATCTTGTGTTCCTGGTTTCCCGTTGTTTTCCTATAATCTTTTCGTTGTTTCTATTTTGTTCCTTTATTATTTTTCCTGCTCTTTCCCCATTTCCTGTATTGTATCATTACATTATTTCCCTTTTTTTTTTTCTAATTTTTTCGGTTGTTTTTCCCTGTTTTGATCTGTCATTCCCACCATTAATATGGCGAGAATCCAAAACGAACGGAAACAGACAGACCGACCCAGAGAGGACTTTCAGACAGGAAAAAACTTCACGAAATACTTAATTTACTTTATTTAAAAATAATTGAAACTTGGTTTCTTGTTCAGATTCAAATATAAATATTATACAAATAGAAAACCGTCAAGATAAATCCACATTTCTTTTTGTTTTAGGTGTACGTCGCTGTCCATATGAAAAGGATGATAATCCTGGGGAATTATACGCTCAACGCTTTCTTTTTAAAGTCTAAAGGGCCTTTTAACGTGACGCTGTTTGATGTAGAAACGAGTGGAGCTGTGGCGTTGTCCAGGGACGAAGACGGTCATCTGTTCGCAAACGAATCTCAGCTGGACATGACGTTCAAGGATACTCACGTGGATTTCAAAAACGTGGGAATGCTGGGACACATCATACAAGCCGCCGTGGGCTCTGTCGCCCCTATGCTCTTCGACGGTGTCAAACCGTCTCTCTTGAACGAGATCAACACCAAGGTCCGAAAAGACGTCAATAAAAAATTAAAAGTGATCGGTGAAAAACTGTTGACGAACAAGACGGAAGAACCTTTGCAGATAGCTCTCGAGGAAGCGCGCAACTACGTGAAGAATAAAGGTTACGACCCGTACAACATTAAGGATTATGTCATCAGGCACAACAAATTAGTGGGCAACGTCTCTCATTTCGTGTTGTACGGCCTGTCCGACTTCCATAAAGTCGGCGACATCAACCTTTCCATGGATAAAGGGACTGTGCAGATGGGAATCCACCTCGTGTCCTTTGCGCTGAAAGGGAAGTGCAAGTTTACAGTCGGCATCGGGAAATACTGGGAAAAGTCGATATACACCAATTTTACAGTCGACCACCTACAAATCCGCATATACGTTAACCAATCATTGGATATGACCCAACATCCAGTATTAGAGGATCTCGATTTGAACGTGGGGAAAGTGAAAATTCATATGGAAGGTATTGGATATTTCGACGGGTTGATCATAGTCCTGGTCAATACCCTACCCGACCTCATTCGTCATATCATAGTCGACGCTATCGAAGAACCATTAAAATACAAAGTACAAGAAATACTCAATCGAGTCGATATGCAAGAAGTGGTCAACAAAACTCTTCCACTAGTAGACAACCTAGGCTTATGATTCCCTTTGACCCAAGTAAAAGTAATATATATTTATTGCTAGAAGGTTTATATGTATGTGTAAGTTGTTTTACTTATAATTTTTTACTGTTACTATTTATTTGTGGCACTAAAGTAAAGTAGAGTGTAAAGTGGAGTAATACCAAAGCGTAAACTAGCAATCTCGTGCATCCAGTCCTAAAATAAACCTCAACTAGTGTCCATTCATCATTTTACCCCAAAAACATTATTTTGCCCCAAAAAACTCAACCAATTTTATTTGTCAATGTCTCAAAATATGACATAATTTCATCCCTTCACTTATTCACGAAGCCTTTAATAAAGGTAATATTTGTAGAATCAAAAAATAAAATCTGAACTGAAAATCGATTACATTTTTTTAACCCTGTAAGTTCCAATGTATTTATAAATAAATAAAAAAAGATTTTAAAATAAATGTACCAATGTGCCATCAAAATGTGAAGGTAATATAATATTGATAGATAGATTCTTTTGATTACAATAATGTACAATTAAGATAAAAACAAGTTTATAGACATATGTGGTGATTAGTGACCGTTAATCGATAATTATTCAGAAATCGTGAGATGCGGTCTGGTGTGATATAGGTTTCAGAAAAACATTTTCTTTATCGTGCCAACGTTTCGATCTTTATTGAGATCATCTTCAGGGCTGAAAGTGTTTGTCTTTCCCCACGGGCGTNTCTCAATAAAGATCGAAACGTTGGCACGATAAAGAAAATGTTTTTCTGAAACCTACATCACACCAGACCGCATCTCACGATTTCTGAATAATTAATTTATAGACATAGATTAAATCTGCCCAGATATCGTTGGAAAAGGAAAGAAGAAAAATAGAAACGGATAGTTATATTTAGCGTAATAAATTTGAATTTCAAAGCAAAAAACTGAAAATTAACGCCATGCTCCTAATAAAATCAAAAGAAAAAGTTATGAGAAATAGAACAATGAATGTAATTTATTCGTATGAATGGAGGGTCTCATCCTCAATTACCCCGAGACTAATCGATTGCTCTGGGGCAATGTGAACCTATTACTTCCGCCAAATTAACTCTTTTTTTACTACAAATTAACGTTTGTTAACTTCAAATTTACCCTTCTTAACTTCAAATGAACGCTTTCAAATTCTAAATGAACCCTTCTTAACTTCAAATTAACGGTCTAATTTTGCATTAACCTTTTTAACTTCAAATTAATTTTTTTTACTTCAAATTACCCCTTCTTAACGGCAAATTAACACTTTTAATTTCGAATTTACCATTTTTACCGTCAAATTAACTTGTTTTTAACTTCAAATGATCACTTTGTAATTCGAAATGAACCCTAAAATCTAACATTTTTTACTTTAAATTATCCTAAATAAACCATCTTAACGTCAAATGAAGAATTTCTAATTCAAAAGGAGCCCTTCTTAACTTCAAATTAACATGTTATAATTTTGCATTAACCCTTTTTATTTTCAAGCTAACTTTTTTTAACTTCAAATTACGCCTTCTTAATTCAAATAACACTTTTTAATGTCGAATTAACCCTTTTTAACATCAAATTAACTTGTTTTAAACTTCAAATAAATCTACTCTTTAAAATACTAAAAAATCTAGGAGATATTTTGAAATGTAACCGTGTAAAGTGATACAGGGTGTCTGTTTTAACATGCGCCAGCAGATTTTCCCTATTTTTTGATCAGATAAAAAAACGTGAGCAATGTCCCCCGTTATATTTTTGCGTAGATTCCAAAAAACAACAGCTTTTTTCGTCACCGACTTTTTCATTTCAAATGGTAACCCCAAATTTTTCATTTATTTTTTTCTAATACTAGATTTTTTCTGGTAAGAATGAGTACCATAACATTTGAGCTTCTTCAAAATTGAGACTAAATTTGTTTGAAAATGTTAAAAAATTAAGGAAATTTTATAAATAATGTTTATTAAACAAAAGTTTCCGTTTTCTTTGTTTTCCCCATGAGGTCTGTAGATAAATAAAATAATTAAAAAATGTCATGTTAGCTCAAGTGGTTAGAGCAGCGGCGAATTGAGCCGAAGGTCGTGGGTTCGAATCCCGCTCGTTACACCGACTTTTTCGTTTCAACCAATACCTTACATAATGATTAATTAATTGAAAGAAGTTAATTGGTCAATCGGATCACGAAATACAAAGGATTTAATAACAAAAAATTTAAACATAATTTCATTTACCATAATAAAAATGAGTGAAATTGGTTACTTGAATGTAAGCAATTAACTTGGTACAAAAACGTACCGAACGATTAATTAAACAATTGACATAATAATTTTATTTTGTCTTGTGAACATCATCAAACAAATTGTTCAAATTGAGGTCCCTGCTGTCGAATACCCACTTACAATTAAGTAGAAATTTCAGGGGCGTTGGTGGCGCAACGGTTTAGGCGTTGACACGGCGCAATCACTGTAAGGTCCCGGGTTCGAATCCGGTGTCCTTGCATTCGAACCCGACATACTTACAAATGGGCTTTTTTTTCAAAAACACCGGCACCCTGATGGTTGATATGACCTCTGCTGATGCAAACCCTCGTAAAAAAAAGTAGCAATTTCACTCATTTTTGTTATGAGAAATGGTTGTGTTTAAACTTTTTACTATTATTAATTTTATTCACCGACTGCATGGTGAAAAATGAAAATGGAAACTTGCGTTTTATATATATATTCAAGCAATTTCCTTAATTTGTTAATATTTAAAAAAAATAGAGCCGTCAATTTTAGAGGTGTTCCAAAGTTGTGATACTTTTTTCAGAAAGAAATTTAAAAAATTGACGACGAAAAAACTTGTGGACGGTTTTGTAATCTTCGCAAAAATGTAAGAGGTGTTACTGGTTTGTAGGTAATAAAAAAATTGGGAAAATCTGCTGGCACACATTGAAAAATGTGTATTGGAAAAATTTTTTAAAATAAAAAATCGGACAACTATATGAAATTCATTTGAATTAAATTAAAAATTACTTTTAAAGTTATTTTATTTAAAACGTGGAAATTTTAAGACTAATCCGTACTATTTAAATTTGTTGGTTGATGTCAGAAAACATTTCCATGTGGATTTTTTTTAAATAAAAACTAATTACGCTAAGAGGCCAAAAAAGTGGCCTGTCTTAATGGTTTTAATTATCTCTTAGTCAATCCTCCATTGATTATCTTACAACATTATTTCATTCGCTTTAAAGGATTAGAGATAAATAAAAGACAGATAAAATTTCCCACTTGTGTTTACAATTGGATTTTGTAAATAAATCTTTGAATAGTCAATCTCTTCTTTGTTGGTTTTTCTGGAATGCTTCTTTCTAACTTCCGGTGATTTGGTTCTTTTAAGTTGTACCAGTTTTAATTTTCAACTTTGTTTGAGTGTTGGTTTTAAATGATACAGATTCAGCTAGAATCATAGTATTGATCAGCAGTCAGGCATATGTGTCCAGGCTGCTTTCTTCCATCGCTACCAAGGTACTGGAGGTTACTGAAGAAGGCATGGTTCAGGCCGCCATCGTATCACATCTCAGAGAGGTCATCGTTTTATTGTTTCGAATGTACTCCGTAATCGACATTCTACCGCTGTCGAGATCAAGCAACAACTATAACAAGTTAGAAATGTCAATGTCAGTTTACGCACTGTAAGGCGAAAACTTTCAGAAACTGGATTAAGTGCATGAAGGCCTGCCACTGGCCCAGAACTTCTGACAAGGCACACAACAAGGTTCATAAACTTTCTATTAAAAAAAAAAAAGTAGACCGTACTTTTTATGATTTTTATACACAACTGAACGAGATAAGCCATCAAATGCTATGGCAATTTAATAAAGTCAAATGAGTAATTTCTATAAACAGGTTTGGTCAGGGTATACATGATTAAAATTGCTTTTTTTAATATATAACTGTATAAAAACATTTAAATATCCCCTTCCAGCAGATAAAGTCAATTTATAACAACACGACCCAATAAAAACCCTCCTTTAATTTGCACGTTAAACATTGTTAGCGATATTGACCGATTGACCTTAGTTTAACAACTGCAACCGTTTTGTCCTTGAACATTGTAATTTACCATTAGATTTTAATCAATATTGATCAAATCCATAGACCTGATCACAAAACATACGGTTACATTGTCTATATTGATTTTTACACATGATAGAAATAATTATTTGACCTTGACTTTTAAGGAATTAAAATTCTGTAATTTTAAGGAGAAATCTTTGGGGACCGCGGTAGCCGAGTGGTTAGCATGAGAGACTCTCACGCCGCGGTCGTGGGTTCGATTCCCACCATCGCTTCTGGCCCTTTTTTCACAATAACCCCCCCTAATTTGAACACATATATATGAATTGTCACATGGCTAATATGCATAGTTCATAACGCCAAAAAAAAAAAAGGAGAAATCTCACAATAAATTAACAAGTCGATTAAACAAGTTTCTTCATAAAAAACAAATCGTTTTTTAGTTCTACAATTAATCTATGTAGGTTATATTCTCGGAACGAAACAGCCAAAATTCTAACAACACCATCTAAGGTTTATTTGAAAAAATATACATCTGCATTTCTTGGAATTTATTTCGCTCTTTATTTACTCATATGTAAGACTTGTAGCATAATAAATACTACATATTTGTAGTATGAATAGGTTTACCCTATAGTAAGTAGACATCTCACTTTATTCTGGATGAGCTAGTTTGGCATCTTTTCAAGTGGTACTGCTTTTTGGGTAAAAAGTGCATTTTTTATACTAAAAACAATTGTGCCGAATGAAATCCCTTGAGAATACGAGCTTTAATAGCGTTTCAAATAATTTTTTGAAAGTTGAAACAAGTAGTGTGTCTTGACTTGATCCACTTGCAATTCTCCATCCCCTGAGTTGTTTGAAGAATATTTTATGAAAAATTCCGTGTCAAAAACTACCTTCCAAACTAAAACTTCGGGAAAACTCGCGTTCAATCGGAAAATTGCACTTTTCTAACATTTATTGCAGTATTATAGGCATATATCGTACAATATGAACGTTTCTCGAGATCAATAAACAGGACGATAAGTATGTCGGTTAGTCTGATCATACAAACGTTGTTCATTGAAAAAAAAAAAAAAAGTCTAATCTGTTTGTATTCGGTCAAGACAAATACAGACATATCCATGTCAAACTGTTGTGTTAGTTTTTCTAAAAGTGTAGACTGCTGTAACCAACTATCTCTACGCCTGTTTACACTATTTACAAAACAATTGTATGGTTTTTAATCATGTGAAATATTTATTATTAACAATGATTATATTTACGAGGCAAACAAATTATGTTACTGAATGTTTTTATTCAATTAGGACGTTAAAATTTAAAC